GAACTTAAATTTACGCTTACAAAATTTAAAAGAGAAATATCTTAAAAATTAGTAATTTTAACAGGGTGCCTGGAGGGCTCAGTTGGTTAAGTGTCCGACTCTTGGGTTTGGCTCAGGTCATGATCTCATGGTTCATGAGTTAGATTCTCTGGCTCTCTCTCTCTCTCTCTCTCTCTCTCTCTGCCCCTCCCCTGCTCACTCTATCTCTCTCTCAAAATAAATAAATAAACATTTAAAAAATAGTAATTTTAAGATTAGAGAAGGATTTAAATTGGCCAGGAGAACAAAGCATTTTCAAAACTCTCAACTACTTAAGAAATCTCCATGATAAATCAGTGATATGCTACTTGCATATCAATATAGCTGTTTATTAAATCTCTCAGTGATATTACAGAAAATATTTGGTTAACCCATTTTTTATACCTTAAATAAATCACAGTATCCACTTAGAAATAAAAGTACTCATTTACATTTTAGAAAATTACTAGGTGTCTACCACATTTCAGGTGCTGTTCTAAATCCTGAGACATCAGCGAGCACAATGCTTATAATCCCCGTTCCAGTGGAACTAACATCCATCCAATGGGTGGGAGCCGGGAGGGGTGGGAGGACAGAAAATAAACAAGGCAGCAAATAATTAAATAATGTCAGATAGGTAATGGGCTAGAAACAAAATGAAACTGAGTAATGGATAGAAAGTGGAGGGGGGTAAATTGCTGAAGGGAAACTAACATCACTGTCTCTGGGGTGGGAACTGAGCTGAGACATCTGCGGGAAATTACAAATCCAAGGTAAGTACAAATCCAAGGAAATTACAGGTAAACCTACCTGTAGACCGCTAGTACATAGGAATAAAAATCTAACACATGTGGGCGCCTCTGTAGCTCAGTTGGTTGAACGCCCGACTTCAACTCAGGTCGTGATCTCATGGTTGGTGGTTTCGAGCCCCGTGTTGGGTTCTGTGCTTTGCATCCTCTGCCCCGTCTCGCGCTGCCCCTCCCCTGCTCATGTGCTCTCTCTCTCTCTCTCTCTCAAAAATAAATAAACATAAAAAAAAACATCTAACACATGAAAAACAGACCTTCTTCTAACATTCGCAGGGTCCAGGGCAACAATATAAATGAATGCTCACATACCACGTCTTAACATTTAGAAATTGTAACTCAAGATAACAAGGCGGTAAAGGAAATGTATTCCACACTCACACCTTGACAATATCACCACACCAGAATGTGACGGTATGAGCAAAGCCTGCCTTCAGCTCTTGACCTAGCCCCCTCCTCCTACTTTTGGACTCGAGTCTGTACTGCAAGGAACCTTATGCACCCACATGTGGACTCTTTGTGTTTAACTTCTTGGAAATATTCAAGAAGTTGTTGGACGGTTTCTACAACATCATAATTTTTAGTTTTCCACAAATTTCTTTAGCAATTAATTCCTGTCTCCATCCATACCTTAAATATTTTATTCCTTAAGGTTCTGTTTTTGAGTCCTATTATTTCCCGTTTTACACATCTTCCCTAGGTGACCTCATTCATTTCCATTTAAATTATTGTCAGCAGGCCAGTAACTGTCTCCCTCGTGCCGTGTTTTTCTCTAAGACTGTCTGTTTGATAATTACACTCAGAAGTCTCTCCTAGCTCAACATGTCTGAAATTGATTTTATTCTTTTCTCCCCCCAACCTTGTTCCAGTCTTCTCTGCTTCAGTAAATAGCACCCTCCCATCTGAGTTGCACAAGTGAGAAATTTGGGAGTCATTCTTTACACTGCCCTTTTCTTTACCTCTTTCCTCCACATCCAGTCAGTCACTAATTACAACAATTCCATTTCCTCAGTATCTTTTTAAAAATTTTTTTAACGTTTATTCATTTTTCAGAGATGGAGAGAGACAGGGCATGAGCAGGGGAGGGGCAGAGAGAGAGGGAGACACAGAATCTGAAGCAGGCTCCAGGCTCTGAGCTGTCAGCACAGAGCCCGATGCAGGGCTTGAACCCACAGACCGTGAGATCACGACCCTAGCTGAAGTCAGACGCTTAACTGACTGAGCCACCCAGGCGCCCCAGTATCTCTCAAATCTACCCATTTATCTATAACCCCTATGGACACTATCTATATTGTTCAAACCACTGTTTTTTCTTTCTTTCTTTGTTCTTTCTTAAGAGATAAGTCTTTAGATTTAAAAAAAAAAATGTTTATTTGTGTTTTTGATAGACAGAGAGAAAGCGTGAGCTGGGGAGGAGCAGACAGAGAGGGAGATACAGAATCCGAAGCAGGCTCCAGGCTCTGAGCTGTCAGCACAGAGCCCGATGCAGGGCTCAAACTCAGAATCTGTGAGGTCACGACCTGAGCCGGAGCGGGATGCCCAACCTACTGAGCCACCCAGGCACCCCAACTGTGTGTTCTTTATGAATTGACGAAAACTACTCACATCTGAGTAAAGATCTTCTGTACCTTCATCTGGATTCCTTATGTGTGCATGATGGTCTGATGGTAAGACCCTTGGTTATGTCCCTACCACTCTTCCCCACCATAATCAGGGCTGTGGGTAGGGGAGCCACAGAGGACTACATATCTTGCTGGGCTCAGAGCATGATGGTGGAAGATATGGTTTCCCTAGCCATTTTGCCTCTTCAACAACTTTTATCCTGAGTTATTCTTCCTATTATCTCCCTTGCTGCAGACTAATACCAGAAGAGGCATACTGAAAAACAATAGCCTAAAATTAGGGAAGTTCCTGAAAACTCTTGGTAAAGGTTGGGTTAGGACTGTACTTTGTAGATTACTGTAGGTCGGATTTGATAAAGGGATTGCATGTGGGTTGAAGAAGTAGGACAGAGGAGGGAATGACTGAGGGAGGCAGTAGAAATTAAGCCATGGTTTAATCCAGAAGGACGGTAAGTAATGTTACCCAATCAACAGAACTCTTGGCAGCTGACTAGATATGAGGGCAGCCAAAGGTGGGCGGGAGGGAATCTGGATTCCCGGAAGAAGGAAGTGGCTATTAACATAAACAGGGGAGCCTTGGTGGGACTGACCCTGTGGATAATAGTGGACATGTCTTTTAAGTGCGGTGACACCTAGTAAAGGTGACCAACAGGCAAGTGGAGGGAGGCTAAGGCTGCAGACATTAAGGCTGGAGTCATCCAGATGGAGGCAAAAATTGAATCTCAAAGGTATGATTATAAATATAGAGAAAAGATCATGGGAAAAACCTGTGTCTAGAAGACAAGAAGTAAAAAGAAAGCTGAGAAAGCACAGGTATTCAGAGAGAGAGGAGGACCAAGAAAGTGATGTGATGGGAAAAAATTAGTACCAAGAAAAGCTGTCTAGGACTGGTAACTCCAATGTTGACAGGCACTGTGATTTATCTGGGAAATGGATTGCATCACATATCCTGGAATTCATTCTTTATAAAATGTATCTATTTATTTTGAGAGAGAGCGAGAGCGAGCACAAGTGCATGAGTTGGAGAGGGGCCAGAGAGAGAATTCCAAGCAGGCTCTGAGCTGTCTGCACAGGGCCCGAAGCAGGACTTGATTCCATGACCCTGGGATCAAGACCTGAGCAGAGACCAAGAGTCGGACACTCAACTGAATGAGCCACCCAGGTGCCCTGTGGAATTCATTCTTTAAAACCCAGACCACGGGTGCCTGGGTGGCTCAGTCAGTTAAGCATGGGACTCTTGATTTCAGCTCAGGTTATCATTTCACGGTTCGTGCGTGGGTTCAAGCCCCCAAGTCAGGCTCTGTGCTCACAGTGCAGAGCCTGCTTGGGATTCTATCTCTATGCCCCTCCCCTTCTTGCACTCATGTGCATTTGTGCTCTCTCTCAAATAAACTTTAAAGTTAAAAAAAAAAAAAAAGGTAGTCCAATACACTCATGTTAAAAAATGAGGACACAGAACCTTGGCTGTTCCCATGTCAACGAAAGAAGTTATGGAAATATTCCACACCTCATAGAGCATGGTCCTTAAGAGTGCCAGAACGCTTGGCTACCACTTGATTTCCAGTATTCCTGCCCACTTACATGACTTTGGACATTTCTATGTGCTGTTTCCTCTTCTTTCATGTGAGGGACAATAATCTGTGCAGAGTTGTTTTCAGAATTACACTTAGCACAGGGCCTGATGCAAAGGCCCAGGAATTATCATCAAAACTTATAAAGCACTATGGGTGAGAGACTTTTGTGAGTGCTGTTATTATAGGTAGGTATTAACTCATTTAACCCACCGAAAAACCCTGAGGTAGGAATAGATATATTCCCATTTTACAGATGAAGAAACTTAGACCCCATGTCAAGACTTAATACCTAACTTAACTGCAGTTTCATTCTCCATCCCACTCCCCGATGTGAACTTCAACCAGCCACATTGGAATTTCTCGGTCAACCCCTTACCCTTTGGCAGGGATGCATTGCCTAAAACAATGCAATCCTTGGTAATAAATTGCTTTTATGCCCTCTCTCTACCTTAAAAACAAACAAACAAACAAACAAACAACCCAAAGCCTTTTCTGCAGCTCAGCAGAGCTCCTTTTGATTTGCTAGATGGGCGCTGCCCCACTCAGGAATCCTTCAGTAAAGCCAATTTGAATTTGAAAACTCACTTGAATTTTTGTTATTTAATAATGACTAGTGTAGGCTTAAGCCACAAATGAGTGGCACAGGCAGGACTTAAACCCAAGTCATCTATTCCACAGCCCCTGCTCACAAGTGCTGTGCAGTATGATACCATACATCTTCACTAATGAAGAGGAAAAGCATCCCTTCACTCAGACTCGTGGTTATTGGAGGCGGAAAGCACCATCTATTCCAGCACTTTCCTCTTAAGTCCGGGAAAGGGCCATGCACAGAGGGGGTGTTCCCTGCGAGACAACGACCGGCCCAGCAGGTCAGAGGCCAGCAAGCCTCGCTGTCCGAGTTTCCCAACACGCAGGTGCCTCGGCCTCCCGGGAGTAAGGAGGAAGGGAGGAGCGCTCGCCCGGGCCCCGCCCCGCCTCGCCGTGCGCAGCGGAGCGCCCCGCCTCGCAGTCTCGCTGAAGTGCCGCAACCATGGGGACAGCGGCAGGCGGTAAAGCGTACTTTCAGAGGGGCAGTCTGTTGTGGTTCACCGTCATCATCCTTTCATTTGGGTATTACACGGTAAGGGCAGCGGCCGCCCGGAGCCGTCCGAAGAGCGGAGCAAGCGCTCCTCCAAGCGCAGGACCCGGGCCAGCCGGGCCGGAGGAGTCGCGCAGGCGCAATAAGGCTCGGAGCCCCGAGGGCGGGGACCGGGCCCGGGAAAGAAGACGCAGGCGCACTCGTGTTCCCGCGCCTCTCCCGGGTTCTCGCGGTCCTGAGAAACCTGCTACCCAGGCTTTGTCGGGATGGGGGCGGGGGCGGGGGCGGGGATGGTTCCCCATCCCACGATTTAGTGTGTAGATCTTTCAAGATGGTGGTGACGAAGTCCGAGGCCGGCAGGGCTGCTTCTGGCTACTTCCGTCGAGCCAGACGTTTGCCCTCGCTGGTCACCGTCCTGGGACTGGGCTATTTCGCGGTGAGGAGTAGGGAGGGGTGGTGCACCTATTTGGGCCCTCCAGGCCCTCGTAGGGCGAGGGTAGCTCAGGCAGCGAGGTCTCGCGCTTGCGCGTCCTGCGGTTGCCTAGGTTACTGTCGTAAGCGGAAGGTCGGTGGGCTCACTGGACGGTTTCTACTCCACCTGTCCCTCCTTTGCGTCCTCGCGCCTCCACACTCACTGCGGCATAACCGGGTGTGAGTAGAGTTCACCGAGGAGGAATCCACGTTGACAGGCTGCCGTAGGCCTGCCGGCTCAGAATAGGGCTTCCGAAGCAGAATGTTTGAGGCAGTTAGAATTGTTTGGAAAACGGGGATAAACCTAAAGAAGGGATAGACAGGATATAAATGTTATAGCATAGATGTGGTATCAGGAAGAAGGGATCTCTGCTGAGAGAGGAGCGGCTTTTGTCTGGCTGACAGTTCGTTTAAAGGATAATAGGAAAGATGCCTGGAAAAGTAGCTTGGGGACTAGGTTGGTATAATTTTGAAGAGAGGGAAATCTATTTGGATCTTGACGGGGAGATCCTTGGACACTGGGGCTTAGAAGTGTGTTGTCGTGTCCACAGTGTTGTTTGTTGTCAAATCTGAGCTCCTTGACTCTGATTTCCTCATATGTAAAATGGAGGGATTGAACCGAAATTCTGCAAAGGTGCATTTCTGTTTATGGTTCTGCATTCCTGACTAGTTAGAAAAATAGATGGAGGAAAGCGTTGGGGACCTCGAATTGGGATATTATGGGGCTGGCAGGTGCTGCCCCTTCCATTCCCTTTGGTTTTGGAAGGTGCAGTGATATTTTAAGCTTTATTTAAATTTTAGATGTGTTACAACATAATGGGAGAGGTAGGACTGCTCTTGCCTGGGATCTGAATGAGACAATAACGTTTTGGACCTGTTGGCATTTAATTATTCTCAGAAAAATCCGGCAGAGGTTACAACATAGAGATTAAAGGAAAGTCGATCAGATTACACAAACCTAATGTGATTAGGTAGTTGGTGTTAGCACTTCACAAACTTAACTCACATATTTTTCAGCTCTGAGGTGGATCATTCCCAGTTTTAGAGGTAGGAAGAGTGAAAGAAGTGAAGGAATTCTAAGTTAAGTGGGGGTTTGGTTCAAGCTGTAGCTTCTGTCGTAAAGAAGCTACCAAGGACGCGGAAACTTCGACATTTATTAGTAACCTGTATAAAAATAATGTTTTGGGTGGAATTCATTAAGAATACAAGTCATCCAGCCTGGACACTGAGTCTGATAATCACACAGCTTCCTTGTCATAAATCTCCCAACCAGATAACTTTTAGGAAATATTAAGTGGAGGGGCACCTGGGTGGCTCAGTCAGTTAAGTGTCTGACTGTTGATGTAGGCTCAGGTCCTGATCTCACAGTTTTGTGAGTTCGAGCCCCACATCGGGCTCTGTGCTGACAGTGTGGAGCCTGCTTGGGATTCTCCCTCACTCTCTGCCCCTCCCCCACTTGCACTGTCTTCTCTTTCTCTTAAATAAATAAAACTTCGAGAAAAAAAAAAAAAAGAAAACAGAAGTGGAGAATGGAAACCCAAATGACTTAATTCAGAGTTTCTTTGGTCTTCAGTTGTTTTTGTAGAATCTGGGTTATTTCATAGTTTCTTTGAAAAATAAACCTGTGCTGATTTCAGCACCCTAATAGGTATTCTGTGCCTCTGATTCTCTTTCAGTGGGTTGTCTTCTGGCCTCAGAGTATTCCTTACCAGAGCCTAGGGCCGCTGGGCCTCTTCACTCAGTACTTGGTGGACCATCATCACACCCTCCTGCGCAGTGGGTAAGGAGAGCTCCGGAAGTGGAGTGTGGCCAGCTCCAGCCCTACCCAAGACCTGGAAGGCCTGCACTTGCCTTTAGACATCTGAGAGTGTTGCTGGTTCACATTAAGGCACCTTTCTTTTTGAGGTTTCTGTATTAGATTTCATCAGCAGATAACCATCACCTTAAGCAAGGCTGACTTTTGTTTCAGGTATTGGCTTGCCTGGCTGATTCACGTGGGAGAGGCCTTATATGCCATGGTTTTGTGCAAGTAAGTGTTGGGGTTTTTTTGTTTGTTTGTTTTTTGCAAGTAACTGTTTTTAATAGGTCTTTATCATTTTTCTCTTGCTATCTAATGTAAGTTAAGAGTAGCCACATTTAAATAATTCATGCCTTTGTAGGCCAAGAGCATTCTCAGCATAGGGTTGAATCACCATGCCTAATACTGAGCCTAGCCCAGAGGGAGTACTCAGTAAATATTTAACAAATGGATTCATTTCATTTGTGTTGGCTAGTCAATTAATGAGCTACTTAATTTAGATGGTTTTCTCATTAAAAAAAAAAAAAAAAAAATTTCTCTAAATAGTCCCAACTAGAACAGAAGATTTGGAGTTTGCTTTCTAGTTTGAAAAAGAGCCAAGTTAGGGGAGCCTGGGTGGCCCAGTTGGTTGCGCATCTGACTTCGGCTCAGGTCATGATCTCACAGTTCGTGGGTTCAAGCCCTGCGTCGGGCTCTGTGCTGACAGCTCAGAGCCTGGAGGCTGCTATAGGTTCTGTGTCTCCCTCTCTCTCTGCCCCTTCCCCCGTTCACATTGTATCTCTCTCTCAAAAATAAATGAACACTAAAAAAAAATTTTTTTTAATAAAAAAAGAAAAAGAGCCAAGTTATGGACATAGGCCATCGATTCTCGGATTCTCAGTCCTAGTTTCATGACTGAATCACCTGAGGAGCTTTCTCAGATACACATGTCTGGTTTCCAGACCCAGAGATCCTGATTTGGTAGGCCTTGCTTCAGAAATGGGAATATGTTCTTTGTTTTCAAGCTCCACAAATAATTCTGGGTTAATTCGGCAAGTTAAAAAAAAAAAAAGCTTCTGGACTAGACCCTACTCAGCAGATGACAGCATAAGTTAATACTATGTGAGCGTATTTGGAAAGATTCTCTTTCCATTAGTACTTTACGTAAGCGTGTAGAGACAGCATGCTGTCATGAAGCAATGGTTACCGTCATGCCAAATTTACTTTGCAATTAATATTTTTCTGGTCGAGATGAACTATCACCTCTATTGTATTCTAAAGGTGAGAACTAAGATACTTTATAACAACTATCTTTTAATAATAAAGTAATTAATATTTATTAATAAGTTATTAATAAATAAATTAATTAATTTATTAAATTAATTATAAAACTATAAATTAATAAGTAAATGTTAAATTTTATTTTAAATTTATTAAATTAATTAATAAATAATTAATAAAGTTATTAATCACACTCTGCCAGATCCTTGCTAAGTGCTTCAAATAGATTATGTCACTCTGTCTTCTGATTTATGAAACAAGCTGGGCGCTCTAGGAGAGGAGCAGGAAGCTGCTTTATTCTTTCTCACCCCTCTCCAGTTACACTCACCCTATGGGTTATTGTCTGCCTCCCACTGGACCGTGGATGAAATCTGAAGTGGTTCCGTAGGTTTTCCAGTCACTCTCTGATGTAATCCAGTCTAGTCCAGGCTATTTATTAAAACGATGAAACTGTTAACCAAAGTCGAAAGTGTCTGTTCTCATCCAGCTGGGGCTCAGGAGGCTGCCCTGGGGAAGAGAGTGTAGTTAGTGTCTTCTCTCTCGGGCCACCTCTTTTTCCTATTTGTTAGCGACAGCTGCTTGTGGCCCACCAGGGTGGGAGTAAGTTTGGGGAAACAGGGCACGGTCCGCCTTGTGGTCAGGCAGCTGGGGGCTGTGGATGTTGCATGCCCGGTGGTGGCTCGTTTTCTCCGGCGGAGGCCCAGTGGGTTTTTGAGAAAGCAGCCATCACTGGGGATCAGTCTCCCTTCTGCATTTCCCTTGATGGTTCCTTCCGCTGCCTCCTCCAGCCTGCCACCTGCAGTTTCCCTTCAGGATCTGTGGTTGAGGGGAAGTTTTCTTTCACTGAGATCTCTTCTACCCTTCAATTAGGGCCTCTGGGCCAGGGTCCCTTTTCAGCCCACCCACGCCTGTGGCCTTCCACCAGATCTGGATGGCTCACAGTAACAGCTTCCTTGTCCTCCCAGTGGGATAATCTGCAGATACATGCACTTCCCGCTGCAGTCATGTATGTTTGGTCTCCCATCAGGCAAGCTTTACCTGAGTCTTAACTTTAGAGTCAGATATTAATCTCTTCCCCTAAATTCCAGGGGACTCGGGTCAGGCTCTCCAAGTGGGTCTGTTGAAGCTGTTCTTTGAGTCTGACTTGTGACGGGAAATGCCGCAGCACTTGGCCCCTTCAGCCTTGCATTGAAATCTTAGCTTGGAGCCGTGTGGTCTAACCCCTCGAATTTACAGTGTTGGAGTATTTGACGCCTGTTCTGTTATGGGCATTTGGAGCCTCTAGTGAAAACCAAAAGACTCAAATTTAACATCCTGCTATCCAAGTCTTTGAAGGGTAGAGGAAGAGCAGGCATAGAGAGGTGAGGTCACTCTTATTATGTTCTTGAAGTTATTTCTTTATGGTCTCATGTTGCAGTATATCATTAGTCACTGTACATCAGAATAAATACTCCATTTGAATTGTGAATGAATGAATGAATGAATGAATTTAAGTGAATGTATTTTTGTAACCTCCCCAATCACACTGTCAAGCCATAAAAAGGAATTGGTGAATCCCTTTTAACCAGAGAAAAGATTGGTCTATGTGTTTGACTTCATAGCCACCATAATATATATAAATGTAGATATCAACTCTTCTGTAACTTTTTCCATTGTCGCATATGCCTATTTTTTCATGTCTACACCTATAAATTTACCTCATTCATTTTATTAGTGCATAGTATTCTGTTACATGGCTGTGCCTCACTGTATTTCACAAATCCCCCCTCTGATGGACTTTGAAGTCTCTAGTTTTTTATTATTATAAATAATACTGCATGAACATGAATTCCTCATATATCCTGGCCCTTGTGTTGTTGCAGATTAAAGGGAAAGCTTTCAAATTTTGCACCGTTTTTTCTAGAGTCACGTAGACCTCTATTAGAGTAAGGAAGTTCCATCCTGTTTCTAAGTTAGCTTCTTGAGAACTTGTATTCAGAATGGATGTTGTCATTTCTCAGATGCTTCTGCATGTATCCAGATGATCATAGGATTTTTCTCCTTTAATCTGTTAGTGTGGAAAACAATATCATTTCTACGTATACTATTCTAAATTAGAAGTCATCCACATAAGACTTATTTATATACAGATGAGACCAGCAAGCCATTCACTCCCATTAGGCCATTTTCTTTTGAGCTCTGTTTCAAGCAATTTAGTTTGCAGCCGGGTGTTTATTATTTCTGTGAGCCAGGCTTTTGACTAAGCACTGTGTGTATGTTATCTCCTAAATCATCCCCAAACTTGCTGGGATAAATACTGATACTTCTGTTTTTCAGAGGAGGACACGGAGTCTAAGAGAGGAGTGGCTTGCCCAGCCGTCACAGCTGGTAGTTGGCCAAGCTAGGATTTACATCTGGTCTGCCTTCAAAACTCTTCCTCTGAAGGCATCCCAGTGCTTTTTAACCCTCCGCTCATCGAAGTCACAGGAGAAACTTTTTTTTTTTTAATGTTTTTAAACATTTATTTATTATTGAGAGACAGGGGAGGGGCAGAGAGAGAGAGGGAGACACAGAATCTGAAGCAGGTTCCAGGCCTTGAGCTGTCAGCCCAGATCCCAACACGGGGCTCAAACTCACAAACCGCAAGATCATGACCTGAGCCGAAGTCAGACACTTAACCGACTGAGCCACCCAGGTGCCCCGAGAAATAGTTTCATAATTCCATGCCCTAGGCAGTAGCCAGACTGCGTCTGAGGGAAAAGTGTACCATCCTGAATGCACAAGAAAAATGAAAATAAATGAACTAACCATGCGAGTTAAGAAACTAGAGGAAAATGGCAAAAATAAACCTAATGAAAGTAGAGAGAAGGAATATATATATATATTTTTAAAGTTTATTTACTTATTTTGAGAGAGAGAAAGTAGGAGGAACAGATAGAGAGGGAGAGAGAATCCCAGGCAGGCTCCATGCTGTCAGCGCAAAGCCTGATGTGGGGCTTGAACTCATTACCTGAGCCGAGATCAAGAGTTGGACACCCAACTGACTGAGCCACCCAGGCGCCCCTAGAAGGCATACATTTTTTTTTTTTTTTAATTTTTTTCAACGTTTATTTATTTTTGGGACAGAGAGAGACAGAGCATGAACGGGCGAGGGGCAGAGAGAGAGGGAGACACAGAATCAGAATCAGGCTCCAGGCTCTGAGCCATCAGCCCAGAGCCCGACGCGGGGCTCGAACTCACGGACCGCGAGATCGTGACCTGGCTGAAGTCGGCCGCTTAACCGACTGCGCCACCCAGGCGCCCCAGAAGGCATACATTTTTTAAGAAAATGGAAGGCTAGGGGCACCTGGGTGGCCCAGTTGATTAAGCGTCCGACTTCGACTCAGGTCATGATCTCATGGTTTGTGGGTTCGAGCCCCACGTCGGGTTCTGTGCTGCCAGCTCGGAGCCTGGAGCCTGCTTTGGATTCTGTGTCTCCCTCCCTCTCCGCCCCTCCCCAGCTTGTGCTCTGTATCTCTTTCTCTCAAAAATAAATAAACCTTAAAAAATTTTTTAATAAATAATTAAAAAAATAAAAAATGGAAGACTAACTCTTATGAAACCATAACATAAAAATTCTGGTGGTTAAGTTTCTCTTTTTTATTTATTTATTTTTTTAGGTCTAAAGGCATCACGGACGGTCGGGCTCAAGTGCTGTGGTTCCTACAAACTTTCCTCTTTGGGGTGGCATCTCTCTCCATCTTAATTGCTTACAGACCAAAACGCCAAAAACAAACTTAAGGAAGATATTCAAATGCTTTCTCTACACTTTTGGCCTTCCACTTCACTGTTTTGGGGGCAAGGAAGATGCTGACTTGACTTGATCTTTCTACTTTCCAGAAGTTGGAGACCGTCTAGTTATTCATTATTCTTTCATATGCTCTGGTTGAGCTTGACTGGATGACAAGAAAGGATTTAAGCTTCCCAGTTCTGTAGACAGACTATTAGGCAGAGGGTTTCCAGCTACCTTCTTGAGGTCATTGGCAGTGCTGGTGCTCATTCTGTTGTCTGGTTTAAGCTGTGCACCAGAATTGTCTGGTGGTATAATTTTGCTCCCACCTTCTGAGTAAACCCCATCTCAGCTCTCTTTTCCCCCAGTTTTTTCCACCTTTCTGAACCAAGACAGAGTGACATTTCCACGACACCTCAATTCCACACACGGTAGGCATCTGTGAGGCAGGATCTCATCCTCTTGAACTTCCTTTTCTCACACCACCAAGAAAAGATCAGAAAGATGAGCAGGTGCATGGAATGGGCCAGGCTGAGCAGTAACATAGAGGCACAGAGGACACACTGAGTACCGAGAGGAGAGGATTGGGGGACGCCTTCCCTGATCCTGCCAGCCCGAAGCCGTCCTTCCCTCCACGCGGCCTCTAGGACATAGCACTCTGTGGTGTGCAAGGGTCTGAAGGCCACTGCCGGATTGCTCCTTCCGTGCAGGATCACATCTCAGACAGATTTATTTTTGTTTCAGCACCTGGCCCATTGCTTTGCACACAGGTGTCCTACCAGCGTTTTCCGAACAAAGGACAGAAACCGATGTAACTTTCCACGTGTTCAGGTGTCATTCCAGTTGTTCTATGAAAACTGCAGAACCCACTCAGTGTATTCTCTTCTCAGAGAGAAGCACAGGACTGCCCTTGGCCGGTAGCGCCACCTTTCTGTGGGTTCCCCATTAGGAAACCTGTATCTTTTTCTTAGTCATTTTCTCCAGACTCTAACATCTCCCTCCTGCTCTGGCTTACTCTAACACAGATGTTCCTGAGCTAGAGATTCTAACTGGAAGCTAACGACTACCTCTCCCATTCACCTGATTAGACCTTTTTACTACTGACTGGTCAGGGCAGAAGGGTCACTGACTCTGTCCCCTGACCTTGGCCAGAATGGCTCAGTCACCTAGGAGCCATTCAGATTCCTTCCCAGGAAGATCTGTTCCCCAGGGACTAGACCTTATTTTCCTTCTATGATGCAGGAGGGCATGTTACCTGTTTTTTGTTTTTTTTAATTTTTTTTTTTTCAACGTTTATTTTTGGGACAGAGAGAGACAGAGCATGAACGGGGGAGGGTCAGAGAGAGAGGGAGACACAGAATCGGAAACAGGCTCCAGGCTCTGAGCCATCAGCCCAGAGCCCGACGCGGGGCTCGAACTCACGGGCCGCGAGATCATGACCTGGCTGAAGTCGGACGCTTAACCGACTGCGCCACCCAGGCGCCCCCATGTTACCTGTTTTAAGCAAACGTTTATGAGAGGCAGCCCGCTCACCCCTAAAGAGGCCCCAAGTAAAAGTACAACCCTGAGAGATGATGGACTATGAATTGTTTCTGGTGGTGATCACTTTCTACAACTAAATCTCAGTCTTTCCAGTTTCTCTGGTGGTGAAGGGGTTGCCTTTTGGTGAAGAGACAGATTTTTAATCATAGAGTTAAACATCATGGAAATCCAACCCAGATTTTTTAAACACATGGCCCTGTCAAAAGAGAAATAGTAATGACAATATTACAGTAATGGTGACAGCAACGATATGGCAGATTATTGAATAAAATGCATTAACTTGAATAAATGCTGTGAATTGCCTTTTCTATTCAAATACTTTTTTGTATGTCAGTTTCATTATTGTCGCACATTTGATTTTACTCTTCTCTAGGTAGACTCTATTATGGAACTGTTCGTACAGTTCAGATATTGAGGCTTTTTTTCCATGGATAAAGAAACGTAGAGGGGCGCCTGGGTGGCTCAGTGGGTTAAGCGTCCGACTTCAGCTCAGGTCATGATCTCATGGTTTGCGAGTTCAAGCCCGGCGTTGGGCTCTGTGCTGACAGCCCAGAGCCTGGAGCCTGCTTCAGATTCTGTCTCCTCTCTCTCTGCCCCTCCCATGCTCATGTTGTCTCTGTCTCTCAATAATAAATAAACGTTTTAAAAAAAAAAAAACATAGAATGCCCTAGTTGCAGGGCATATGCTCCTCGTTATATTTACAGAGCTGCCCAGGGCCCGCTTACCTCCACGCACACAGAGTTGTGGGTGGACGTGAGTGTCTCCTTTCACTGTAGGAGTGTTCACCTTTTGTTTTCATTTATATTTCATTCAGCATCTGATACAGTCTATGCAGCAGGCAAGAGGAATATTTGTGCTCTTTTAAGTGCCAAAAGTATAAACTATAATCTCACTTGCGATATTATCATGGCTTACTGCAAAAAAAGGATCTTAATGAGCACACAGTGTAGGTCATTTTGTGGACCCATAAACTGCATCCCATCGAGGTGAAGTAACTTAACATCACATGGAGAGGCCAGACCTCAGCTGGATCTTGTGTCTCCCCTCCTCTGCAGCCCAGGAGCATAGAAATTAAGCCTGTGAAGCAAAAAATAAACAAATACAGAGACCTGTTGGCTTTGTGTTGCAGCTGTAAAGGTGATAGGGGAGAAACATCCTTGTGGAGTTTGGATGAGAAAGGACCAGAAGCACCTTAATGGAAGCAACCGTGGGAGGCAGACAAACTAACCTGTTTTCTCCTGCCCCTACCCCGAAGATATTGGGAGCGTGTGTAGTTTGGAAGAACAAAAAAGAAAGGACTAATGGAAAAAACTAATGACCTCACCACTTAAATAGTAACAGACCTGTTTATAGTTTCTCCTTATAAACATTCAACTTATTTAGGACTCCATGCAGTCTACGTCTAAACATGTTTTCAAGCCACGGTTTTAAAACAAGTCTTGGGCTTAAGAGGTCCTATTCCAGATGGAGGGTCTTTGGCAAAACAGCTTGCCATCTGCGGGCCGTACGTATTTACACGGAGGGTCTGAAGACACACAAGGACAGTCTGAGCACCTGCCGTTGAGATTAGAGAACCCTGCAATCACGTTTTTATCTTTGCCTGGACCCTTCCTGGAACCTTGTTAATTAAAGCTCTTAGTTTGGCATAAATATCATTGATCTGCCCTTTATTGGCCCAGGCAAAAAGATGCTGGTAGGGCAGCTGAGTAATGTCTGTGTAAGCATAGGAGGCACCTGTACGCAAGGCTCCTTGTCTGCCTCAAATTGGGAATTATGGTTCTCTCTTCATCAAGGTTAGACAAGTGAGAGACTAATTGTCATTTCACATTTCTCTTTATGAGGAAGAACGCTATCCTCTGATTCCACAGTGGATATTTGAAAATCCTATTCAAAATACTGTATTTGTCATTTCTATGACCATTTTAAGATGGCTACTAGGCTTTCTTGATAGGATTGAGTTTACCGATTGCCTCCTTTTTGTTTGTAGTGAGGCATAAAGGTGGCTTAGGGAAAAAGCCTTTGACACCCTAGTACTGTCAGGGAAATGTTCATGTAAGTGTCAGGGGTGAGAGAGTGCATTGTGGGAATGGAGGTCTCAGTCCTTGGATTTCCCACGAGACGATTCACATGGGGGAACCGCGCTGCAATAAGGACCAGCCAAAAGGAAACAGCGAGCACCAAGCAGTTTCCTAAAACGAAGGTATGCTCTCAAAATGGGAGAGAGAGCCGGCAGCTTCCCCAAGGTGGAACCAGCCCCTAGGTTGTTTTGGGTTTGGATATTATTGGGTCTCTCTGGGCCGGGAGCTGGGACACACAGTGGGGAAGCCTCTAAAGGAGGTTGTTGCCAACAGGATGGGAAACTCCTTCCACAGTAGGGCGATCACTGCCTGCTTTGTAGCCTGATCCAGCCCTTCTCCACGGGCAGGGCTGGACCCAATGCCAGTGCATATATTGAGTGTGGGGGTTACCCTGGGGCCCAGGTGGGAGAGGAGAGCCCTTGTCCCATACCTGTGGCTCTTGATCTGTCAGGCCCAAGGTCTTGGAAGCCTCAAGGTCAGCCTCAAGCTCCCAGGCTTTGTGTAGCTTTTTCTTTCTTTTTTTTTTTTTTTAATCACCATCCTTGCCTCCAGCCCATGTCTCTATTGTTCCCCTTCAGGGGCTGGGGACTCTGTCTCTGGGAGTTACATTCACTTTTTCTTTGTACCAACAGGTTGCACAAGCCGTTCTTACTAAACAGAACTTAGTTGATAAAAACTGCCACCAAAGCTTTGATGTTGCTATAAAGGAGAGTAATGATAAGATAGGGAAGTGTTCCCTAACCCTCAGGCATGTGGGGACCACCCCCGCAAGGCTGGTCATGCCTATGCTACACAGGAATTCATTTTAAGAAATCTTCCTAGGGAAGAATAACTATGAAATGCCCTGCTTGGTTTGTTCGTTATATTTTTTTTCCTCTGATACGTATGAGAATAAAGCACAGTTATTACCTACCTCACCAGGCACATTAATGATGCATTCAGCAAACTGTTAACAATTTAAGGGTATTACACTACGCAGTGATACTGAAGTGTGGCATTTCACCTGGCTCCAGGCACGAGATTTTAGGCAAGTTTGTCACCTTCCTGGACCTCAGTTCCATCAATTTTACATCGCGGCTGGGATGAAAGTAGAATGCTAAACGTAAGTGAAATAATCTAGATAAAGCAACTTGATACACTGTATCGTACTGAATAGTTTTATTGGAAAGCTGGTAATCACCAGTGATGCGTCCTGTGCTTGTTAAATGTACCCATGCAGATGGGTCACGTGAAACCTTGCAGAAATGCAGGTTCTGTGTGGGTTACGCGTGTGTAGCGGGGAGGGCGGGCACTCGGTAAGTTAACTGGTCTTGATGTTAAATTGAAATAGTTCCCTTTTTAAGGGGAAATACACTGATCAGTCTAGGAAAATGATTGGGGTAATAAAATGTGAGCTGAGGAACTAGGTACAACTCCCAGAAGAACAGAAATAGGATATATATCATTGCTTTTATTTGAAAAGTTGTAAGCCTTCAGAAAAGTTACAAGATGAGTATAGAGAACATCCATATACCCTTCACCTCCCAGGTTCACCAGTTTTTAACATTTTGCTGTGTTTGCCTTATCCCTCTCTTTTTGTCCCTCCATATATAATTGTTTCTTTTTTTCCCCCTGAATCATCTGAGAGTCTTTGTAGACACCACTGCCCTTCACCTTCAGTGTGCATCTCCCAAGAGCGGAAGCGTTGTGTTACATAATTATTACACCCAGGAAATGTAATGTTATCTTCTACACAG